GAATGTAGTTCTTTAAGGGTTTTCAAAACAATTCTAAAAAGAAATATATTTGAGGGTTACAAGCAAAAATAACTTTRAATTGTTATTGTATTTGTTAAGGATTGTTTGTTTTCTTTGTTTTTTGTGTGTTTTTTATAGCAATGATTATGAGGGATAGTTTAGTTTTATTGGATGTGTGGGACAGGCATAAATATAAGGCTTGTGCTTCTGCCTGTACCTTTTCACTCAAAATGTTTACATTTTTATACTGTTTYGTAATGTTTTGATTTGTTGCTGAACAATTTTGATGACTGAATAAACAATAATCAATCAATCAATCAATCAAACCTCATTGAAGCTTGTTGTTTGGAGCATCAGTGAAACAAAGCAAATGTCATTGCTTCTTGTTGGTTTGTAAGGGTGTAAGATGACAGGTTATTAACTGCAAGGCATGGTTTGTCAGTTAATCAGTGTTGTATTAAGTACCTGAAAGTGATACTTGAGTAAAAGTACAAGTATCGTATAAAATTGCTTTGGTAAAAGTTAGTCTCCTCTAAGAATATTACTTGAGTAAAAGTCTTAAAGTATCTGATTTATTTTGTACTTAAGTATCAAAAGTAAATTTCTGACATAAAATGTGCTTACGTAATAAAAGTAAAAGTATTTAGTAAAAATGAAGGGTTAGATTTTCCAAAATACATTTATTGGAAGGTGACCTCTTCAAAAATATTTTTTCTAAAGGTGTGCAGCTTTGATGGATTGTGTATAAACTTGCTACAGTATCAGAATGGTATATTTATACTTCTCATCCAACCACACAAATTCACTCTATCCACAATTTTCAAGATAGTATTTTTTTAACAATAACAAGCAGAGATGACATAGGAGAAACGTCTTTCTACTTCTTACCTTTTAAAAAAAATGTAAGGAGTAGAAAGTGCAGATAATTGTGTAAAACTGTAAGGAGTAGAAGTAAACAGCACGCTGAAAAATAATTACTCAAGTAAAGTACAGATAACCAAAATTTCTACTTAAGTACACTAACAAAGTATTTGTACTTTGTTACATTAGAACTCTGCAGTTAATACAGGTTTAATCTCTTCAGGCCAAGTGTCAAACAAAAAAATGTGTAAACTCCAGAAAAGTTTCTCTTTGTAATAATAAGTAAATAATAAGTAAAAATAAGCAAAGTCAGTGTTTGCTTTGTTTATTTTGAGCTGAATGTGATGCAGAATCTCCACAGAACTGAACAACATCCTATATGAGCTAACAGGGTTTGTGTGAGAAAAATGACTCTTGAAACTAAAAATAACTAATACTCCAATGATGTGCACATTATTTGGTATAACTGCTTGCTTGCCATACCCCACTTGTTCTCTGTTTCTTTGAATCATTGGATTTAACTCACCAGCTAAAAGAACAAAGTGTGCTTTAAAAGTGGGTCTGATCAGACTGCACTGATGAGCCAATAATTACATTTTTTGCATCGTAAGATCCAGGTTCTGCATGTTTGGGTTCTCAGTTATGGCCCACTTCCAGTCTGATTTCTGGAACCCAGAGACCTGAGGTTCTGTTCAGCCCGGGCTGCTGGTTCGATTTGATGTCGTCTCACTCAATTTCAGCGAAACTTAGAGGGAGTTTCTTGTTGTGGGTTCAGTTTTGGTAAGCCGTGATTGGATGGATGGAGTAGTGGGGGAAGTTAAAAGATGACATAATGGTTATTAAAATCATTGTCAGCATGTAAGATTTGACCTTCAATTTTCTTGTGGCTAGCACCTTCCTGTCTCAAGTTATGACTAAAATTGATCTTCAAATTCAAAATTAGCGATCTGAATTGTTACACTTTATTTTATTTTGAAATGTATTCATTTCATTTAAATCAATAACTACAGTATATGCAATAGAAGAAGAAAATGTATACAAATTAATAAAATGAAAGGTAGCAGAAAGAAGTAAAAAATCTTAAATCTGTCCCATACATTCAAGCAATAGTGATTTACAAAAAATAAATAAATAAACACTTGTCCCCATCTGCTCTTCGTTCTTTGGACCGAAGCATTATGGTTTCTTTTAACCCCACCCAAAATAGTCAATCTGACCCAGGGTTCCTGCGGATCCTTAAGTCTTAAAATGCATTGAATTCTACAATCCAAAAATAAGGCCTTAATATGCCTTAAAATGTCTTAAATCAATATTTCAGAGGTCTTAAAAATGTTAACACATTGTTAGTAGGATGATTGTATTTGTCTCAAACATTTAAATAATTGGTAAAATTTATTTATTTATTGTAATGGAACTAATACTTTTATGTTTAAGCCCCAGGAACTAAACCAAGATCTACAAAGATTCACAGAGCCCCACCACCACCTCTGACCCTTCCACACATCAAAACAGACAATCCTGTTTGTGTTCAAGATGATCCAAACACTTTTGGGTGATAACTATGTTTTGGGGTTAGTGATTACTGTGGGAGAAATAAAAACTGAATTAGTGAGGTTGGGATTTCAGAAAAGTACATATACTTAGGTTTATGTTGACATGTTTTTTAAAAATATATTAAAGAGTTTTTTTTTGTTTTATTGATCATTTAATTGGTGATTTAATGATCAGATGGGGGAGATGTAATGGATCTTATACTTTTATGTTTAAGCTAGTTATTCATGATATCCTTTAATGGCCTAGGTTTTCATGACATGCTGTTCATCTGCAGAYAGAATGATTAAAGTCAGAACAAGATTTGCTAACAACAGTCATTCTTAGATAGCACTTGTGTTTATCTTTGTGTTTTCCATTGACCTTGAATCAAATCTTGCTAGGATGACATAATGGTGTTTGTTAATATATATATATGAGGCCTCTCGAGTGAGTGACACAGTGAAAAGTGGACAGAGTGGAGTGACAGAGAGAGGCAGAGGCACAGAGACATGGCAGGTTGTTCTCTGTGTTTCCTGTTGTTGCAATAAAACTCAGCTGATCATCTCACGGAGTACCTTCATTCTTGGACCATGTATTTCTGTCTTTGTTAAATAAATATTGCCATAACAGTTATTTATTCATTTAAACAACTTACCAAATTTACAGCAGCTAGTTGTTTTGTTTTAAAATAAACATTTGGGTAAAATTGTTTGGTTTTTTCCCCATTTGTGTTTATTGTGAACTTGGTCTTAAATTTCCTTTCAAGTGGCATTAAAAAGTATTTAAAAGTTTTAGATTTAACTTGCCTTAAGCTGTAGGAACCCTCTGACCAATCCCAGTTTATCCAAACTACGCCCACACTCAAGACTCTGAGGAGATACTTGGTTTCAGCTGGTCTTTGTTGTGTCACAAAGAAAATGACATCACATAACAATTTTGGCATTTTTGATCTGATGATCTCCGCCCACATTGAGGCGGCTCTATACTCAACCAGGTCCTGGTCGACTGTGGCCGGGCCGGGTCGGGCCTTATGATGCAAAAATGCCATAAATGTTCATCTAAGTGAACCCACTTCCACGTTTTTAAATAATGAACTCATTTAAAGCTGACAGCAAACTAGCTGTTAGCTCATCACTTCTGTAAGACTCTAGATTTCTCTAATTGATGTTGTTCAAAAAGGTGTCTATAGCAGGTTAGATATTGTTTACTTAAATGGATAAAACATCCTTTTAATCAAGAAGTTTTGCTTCAGCACACACCGATACAAAGAGCCGTGTCTTGTGTGTGTGTTTTTAATCTGAACTCTTCTTATTTTTCTGTATTCCAGGTTTGCAGTGATGGCCTGTTGCTGGGCCCTGGACCCCGAGGAGAGGCCCAAGTTCCAGCAGCTGGTTCAGTGTCTCACAGAGTTCCACGCTGCGTTGGGTGCCTACGTGTGAAAAAAACAAGACAAACACTGACACTGTTGGACGCTGGGAACACGTATGAAAATGTGCCTTATCAGACGGACGAGCGGACGTCAGCCAGGAGGCTTCTGTACATTTTTTATCCTTGAGTTTTTATTCTTTGATTACCTTTTTTTACAGCATAGCGTAAAAAGAGATTCTTTGTTTTATATCATGGTTTTTGCTTTGAAAGCATCTTTTTTTTTCTTTGTGGACCAGAACTGCTCGAGTCCTCTCTTCATCAGCTTTTAATGACTTTCAGTGAAAACCTTTAGAAAAGAAGAGTTTCCTGCAGTGGAGCAGTGTGAATTATAGATTTATTTTGGATAATGATAATTATCATGGTTTGGGTACCAGAGTAGATTCAAAGGCTTGCTGAGCTCAAGCTTGGTACGAGGAAGAAAACCGGACTTGTTTTTTTTTTTTGTGATGGTCCTGAGATGCCCTCAGATGGTACAGTATTTCCTCCGGGTAATTTTCTTTTCCTGCGGTTTAATTGTGCCAACTCTCAGCGGGGACGTTCTGTGGGTTTTATGTCCAACTAACGCATCACAGCTCAAACATCCGCACGACAGAGCTGCCAACAGAAACCAGCTTCTTGTTTCAGGTCTGGTTTAAAGTTAGCAAACTGCCCATGATAAAGAGATTTTTTTTGTACATATCACATCCACCTTCACAACTTCCCCACATAGTTTTGTATGTTTTTATAAGCTTGATTGTTCTACGTCAGAACAGACTCTGCCTCGTTTTTAACAGCTATTAAAAAAAAACCATCACTGTGAAAACACACCAGCTGGGTCTGATCGTATCCTTACACCTTTAACATCTTTGAGATGTGTTTTTATGGTCACTGCATGTTGAAACAAAGGTTGTAAACTGCTTCCCAAATTCATATCCACACATTAAATGGGATTTTTGAATACGAGTCCCGGATGGTTTGTTCCTATTAAATATTTAAAATATCACAGTGTTTCTGTTTTGTGAAATCCTTCATTTGTGAACGTGACGAGGATCAGAAATGATGCTCAAATACAGGAGAAGTTTCTTAAAAGCGAAGCCTTGGTATGGTTTTTTTGGGTTTTTTTAGCCTTTAAAAATAAATTCAGGTGAAAACCCAACAACGGGCTGAGCATTTGTGTCGTCACTCCTGAGTTTTAGTTTCCTCTTCAGTAGTCAGAATTTATCAGCACGCAACACAACCACAAGACATGTTGAGTAAGTAGACTTTCTTCTTCTTTTAAACCAGACTTGTGACAGTGCTGCAGACTGCTGAGTTCAACAACTGAGCTGAATAACTGCAGGTCATGTTAACCATGGGCAAAATGTGAAATTAACTCAAACCAGGACATTTTATCGAGTTGACTCCAAGTATTCAGTTGTAAATGTTCAGATAATTATTTTCTGAAAGTCTAAATGCTGGTCAGTGGTTAATGCAGGGGCGTAATTTGCAGGGAGGTTGGGGGGGCTACGACCCTCAGTCAATATAACCCCACTACATGCAAATAAAATAACATTTTGGTCTAATGCAGTAGAAATGACCTGGTTAAGTCCACAGCTGCACAGCACCAGGTAAATACATACTCTTGGAAAATTGAGGAATTCAGGCATGTTGTATAAAATACTTATTATAAATGTAAAATATTTGTTACTGTTGGAAAAGATGGAGGAAAAAATGAGTCTTAATTGTTGAACTGATGTGAAACAGAAAAGGTGCAGAGTAAATACAAAAAAACTGAAAAGTTAAGTATCACAGTAAAGGTATTACAATGTATTTCATCCCAAAAATATCCTGAATTGTTTTACTAAAGTAAATGATTTAATAAATAGATGAAGAGGTAAACAGCACACCCCCAAGTCTTAAAGTGACACCCTGTTAATGAGGTATTTTACTAACAGGTAAACTCACACATGCAGGCAAATATATCACAATTTTCCGACACACAGTCATGATAAAGAAGTTTAAAACTAAGTTTTGTTGTTTTTATGTCTAATTTATTTGAGTGAGCTCATTATAATGCAAGCTGTACAATAAAAACCTGCTGCAGTGTTTAACTGAGCTCACTTGGTTCTGCTAATTAGCTAAACGCTAAAAGAGAAACTACATTTTGTTTTGGCAACTGTTTTTTCACTAACTTTAAAAACAAATAATGGACCAATTAGCTTCTGCTAAATTAGGTTTTGCCAAATTTTAAGTCTGCTAGCAGCTACCAAGCTAACATCAACAGGTTTGCGTCAGTCCCACCAGTCTTTAGCTCAGAGCTGCACAAAGTGGGGCCCACGGGCCAAAATTGGCCCCCCAAGCCATTTGATTTGGCCCACCAGCAGTTGTCCAGGCTACTAGGTTGTGTTTTCCTGTTTTATGTAGAAACACTATATTTCCAATTAGTCCAACAATTGGTCCAACTGTTTGCAAAAATAGTGCACATAGTCTTGACTCAGTTTATCTTTGCATTATACAGTATTAAGATTAATCAAAATACAGTAACTACAAGAGACATCTAGATTAGAATTAAACACATCTAGATCTGCACATTTTATAATATCAAAAACACAAATTTTATAATTTATGAAAAGTCCCATGAGCCTTTGCTGCCCGAGTGTATGTCAGATTTTCAACAACCTAACTTAAGAAGTATTTGCATTTCATGTATTACTGCATTTGGCCCACAGCCCTCAGATTGATTTTTATTTTGGCCTTCTCAGGGAAAATGTTTGGGCATATAGAGTATATACTGTATATATATA